ATTTGAGGCTTGGCATATATATAAATATTGTGGCGTAATTGTTGAGATATTTGGAGATATTTATTTATGGTAGGTCACCCTATCATTGGGCCATGAGTGAAACCCTAATGAAATTCAAAATTTCACTATCGTACACAGTTATCCAAAATGGTTACATTCAGATTATGAAATCTTGTTGAGGCAATACAGGTCCGAGTTATTGATAGAATTTTCGCTTGCTTAGCACATGATGGTGAAACTAACATGTGGTGTTTTATTCTATGTATTTTGTTGTATATTTAGGAAAAAAGAAGTGGCTATGTTGCTGTTACATAATGATGCTAATGTAAATATTCAAGCTAAAAATGGTTGTACAGCTTTTGATATGGCTTCTCTTATTGGTAAGAATTTCATTAAGAAAAATTAATCTTTTCTCCTGTAGATCTCTTTCATTCCCAGTCCAATATACCGTCTTTCAAAGTGGATATATCCCATTGCAACATACCATCTTCAAAGTGGATATCCCCCGATTACAGTCCAAAGCTACTTTCTTTGGTTCTAAGTGTGAGATACCAATCAATGGTCACATTTTCAGATTCCAGGTTTCTTCTCCATATCATCACTGTATGTCCTTACTTGTGCTTTGCCCATAGGCGTACAGGCCCGATGACAGTTAGGGGGCAGAACCCGAAATGCCCGAAAAATTTCGGGTTTACAGACAGCGGCGCCGGTCTTCCTCGAGAGGCGAAGAAACAAAGCTTACCTTGCATGGACCCCCCCCCCCAAGAAAAATTTGGAGTATTTGACGGCTGCAAACACGTTTTCCTGGTATTTCAGCCCGTGAACAAAGCAACTTCAAATTGGTCTAATAATATAGCCTAATTAAGGTGGCTGACTCGAATGCCAATCAATCGTTCACAGTCCACGGAGATGGGATTGTTGGGAGAAAATTTTGAAAATTTAACTGCTATTCCAGCCTGTGAATACAGCAACTTCAATTTGGTCCAATATAGCCTACCTGGCTGACCGGGCCCCACCCATCCTCCCGGAGAAAATTTTGAAAATTTAACCACCGCAAATGCGTTTTCTGCTATTCTAGCAGACCGCCCAAGAAAATTTTGGAATATTTGACGGCCGGAATCGCGTTTTACTGCTATTCCAGCCAGTAAAATCAGTGTTTTATTAGATTTCGGGCACTTTATTTTGCCAAGTAGATGAAATAAATTTTTTTTTTCACTTTACCCGTCTGCCCGAAAAGTCAGCTTGCCCGAAAGTTAGGGGGGCAGCTGCCCCCCCCTGCCCCCCTGGCTCGTACGCCTATGGCTTTGCCTAGTAGATTCTAGTCCAAAGGCTGACATGGATTGGTATTGATAAGTAAGCAAACAATTAAAGGCATGAGACACAATGTTTCTCTCTCCCTAAAAATGTTAAATGTGATTATAATAAAGGAATTTGTTTTATGTGAGCAGATGATGTAGATACAGAGCTTGTGCGTCTGTTAGCATCTAAAGCCATGCAAGTCAATAGAGTTGATAAAAATAAAAAGAATTGGAACCGGTCTCCTGGTAATACTAATACCTTTCTACCCTCAGATTTTGGGTAAGTCAAGTAACTCAAGTTCTAGATTATTTAAAGAAAAATAAGAAAATTTATAAATCTGTATGAAAGAATGTTTATGTTAGAGATTGGATTCGAGTGCTACCCAGGGATTCACATTTTGTAGGAAAAATAAATTGAAAACAGATAACCAATATGATAGAATAATTATCAATGATAAAGTGGTTTTTTTTGCCGACTTTTATGTCTTGTAATATGTCAATTGTTTTAAAATTTTGTATATTTTAATCCTCTAACCTGTATGTATAATAAGATTTACTTTATTGTTCAGATTCATATTATAATGAATTGCTTTATTACAGCTGTGATGACCCACCAAAAACTGGTTTAAAAGTAAGTTATCACATTCAATAACTAAGTGTGAATAGTGTTATGAACTTATGATATATAAAGCTTGCTTCCAAAATGCCATGTTAAAGTGACAACTTTGAAACTTTATCCAACCTGAAGATAATAGTTAAAACGTAATTGTATGAATTTAATTTCATATTAAATATTAGATCTGTCTGTCAAAAACAAAGCTATTGTTGTTTGGAAAGCTTGATTACCCGTAGTCTAGATTATTCTCTCTGACATGTTTGCACAGAGCTTAATTTAAATTAAGCAAATTGTTATATGCCTTCAAATATGGCATGCATTTAATATACATGTACGTGGTTGATAAATATTCAACAATTACTGAACATTTTTATCTAATAGTTTAAATATTATTTTGTTTCTGTACAATAAAAAGGACTGATAATGACTTATTTTCAGGGTTGGTGGAATAGAATGTCAAATCGATTTAGAAATTTGAAACTGGGCAGGACATTTAATAGTTCCAGATTAGGTCCTATGCCATATGAAACCTCAGTTTCTGTTCAAGACTTGACTATGTCTAAACAGCCAAAGACACAGGTAAACAGCTGAAAACCTTAATTTATAGTTTTATTCTAAAAGCAGTTACAAAACATGGGTCAGGTCTTATATATGTTAAAAGGTTGTTACATATAATTTAATACGACTTTTAGATAATGATTAAACAAGTTATTTTTAAGTTATTCATGTATTAGGTTTTCCTATAAACTAAGTGTATTGTATGGATAATTTTTGCCAAAATTATGCAATTTTGTGATAAATCTAACCAAAATAAAGAGCTTAAAACAGATTCAGATTAGTGCTGAGTATCGTCACTGCAGTCATGATACGTTATGTATTGCGATTCAGGTGCTGCAATACAATTTGTATCATGATTCATAACCAGGTCAATATTTACCAAGAAAACAGCAGAATGGCAAAATTTTTTAGTCCTGCCGATGTGAAAAATAAATCTGTTTTTTATCATGATATTGATGTGGATCAAAATAAGCACCAAAACAATTTAAGAGTGTTTGTGTACCTATGGATAATGTGCGACGTGGATAATTAAGAATGACAGGTTACTTTCTGAAGAGACAAAAAAACATAAAAAAGAATTGTGAAAAATCGATTCAGCGTCTCACGATTCAATACGTGAATCACGAAAAGGTGAATTGTGATACATCGATTCAATGATGTTTAATTTTACAGATCCCAATGACTCCACAGACTGCCCGTGTGGAAATCAAGAGAAGACAACAAAATGCTAAAATACCGATGACAAGTTATGAGAATATGTTAAATGAAACAATGAAAACCCATGTTATGTATACACTGGTAAGATATCGTTTTATTCATAGTTATGGTACAAGTAATATAAACCCAATGAAAACCCAGGTTATGTATATTATGGGGATAATATTTTGCTCCGACAGCAGTGTTTTCACTTACTCTTCTGTGCATTGAAACTGACAATAATTCTTTTACATAGACCCCAATGTGTGAATGGGTGGACATTGTTTTTATGTACTCTTCTGGGAATTGGTGTTGTAGTTTCTGGCAACTAACTGTAAAGTAGATGAAAAAATGAAAATATATATTGCCCTGTCACAAACATAATATCTTTACTGTCAATTAGACTAGCACTGGACAGAAAAGTAACAAATGTGTGAATTCTTACTACTACACAGTATTTTGTGTATTTTGAATATAAATTGTTGAACATGTAAGCATGTTTTCACTTTAAATACTTGATACTAATGATATATTTTTCTCTACAGGATATTAACCCTCCACATTCCAATTTATCTAGTGAAACATTAAAACCAGTTATTCCACCATTTTTGCCTCCACCTTCCTTTGCTTTAGATACCTCAGAATATGCTCGTCGAAATGAGTGGCAGACGCCAAAATCAGTGGATAATGATCAGACTCTGGTATGTTCTCTTATCAAATGATTTACATATTTGTGGGAGGGAAACAGAACAGTGGTTAGTATGTTAAATCTGTGTTCAATCCCCACTCTGGGTGGGGGTGGGGGATGACCGAATGGTTAGCAAGCGCACGCTGTATCACAGGGTCTGTCATTGAGTCAATTGGCGGGGTTTCGATTCCCCGGTTGTACATGACAAGGAGTAGTGTCGCCTGTCCAACCTCGTGGGTTTTCTCCGGGTCCTCCAGTTTCTTCCCACTGTTAAAGACCCCTACGCGCAAGCGAATTATTGAAATAAAAAAATTAAACCATATGTTAGTCCCGAAATGACCTAGTTTGTGTCGAGTGGAGGTTAAACCTAATTTCTCTCTCTCTCTCTCTCTCACTCTGGCTGGGTGTCAAATCTTTGATACTGTTTTCTCAGCAGTAATTGGGTGCTTGTAGGATAGTGTAAGGTAAAATGAATGTATAAAAATGATGTAGCAAAATTCTGGTTGTTGCAGAGATAAGACATCCAAGATGGAATGGAAGTCATAGAGGATCTCTGAAAAATTGAACAAAAGATATTTTATTTTGATATTACTTTAGGTTATAAATAAACTCAGATAAGTATTAACTTAAAAATGCATAAAGCGGCAGACACACTGAGTGAATTTCTGCCCAAATCATTCGTCGCCGATTAAACATGGCAGAAAAGAAAAAAATAATTGCAGCTGTGGGATTCTTTTAATTTTACGCATATGCGTCAGTGTAGAAAGAGGTGGGAGAATAGGAGTGACTGGGCAAAAACCGGGATGATGTAGCACAGTCGATTGTTTATTGTTGTAGCAACGGTACTGGACATTCGAGTCTCCGCCTCACTTCTCCATTCTTTAATTAAATCATTAAATGATGATCTTAATTTTAAGAAGTTAAAATCTCTGACATCCATTGGTCTAGAGAGTTGATCACAGGCTTGTTGTGTTAATAAATGCTTAAATAATAGTTTAAAATTCAGAGCTCTTACATATGCATCTGTAACTTAAAATAATTGTTTCCTTTAGACACCAAGAAGACCGACATCATTTCATCCTGCCAAGTTTTTGCCAGATCGTAGTACAGGTAACCATGGTAATACTAATCCTGCCATTACTAATTCTAGTCCTACATCATCAGGTGGCGCTAGTAGTATAACTGCTATAAATAACAAGTTTACCACTGGTTCTAGTACCGATGTAACCAATGGTAACCCTCCAATAATCATTAAAGGTTAATATTTTAATACTAATATTATTTTATTTGGACTACTTTATAAATACTAATAATGATAACAAGATAGAAATGATATTGCTGCAAGTACCAGAAACAATGATATTTTGGCAAGAGAATTACAGGCATAAACAGAGGGTGAGAAACAGGAAAATTAGAATAGGTCTTTCTTAAAAAATTACTGAATGTTATTGAGAGGCTCAGATTCCCTTTCAGATCATAACACTTTACATCATCAACATATTAAAAGTTGAAGTTAATCGTCCCCCACCTTTCATCACACTTTTTGGGACACACTAACACTCTGCTTCTAATTGAGCCAGAATATTCCAGCATGGTGTATTTGTTTATTAGATGAAATGAATGCTTTGGCTGAGTTAGATGATGAGCATTTTCTGCTTAGGTTCAGAGATAAACAATTTCATTGTTCAATGAGATGAATGCCTTGGCTGAGTTAGACAATGAGCATTTTCTGCTTAGGCTAAGCAGAGATAAACAATTTCATTGTTCAATGAGATGAATGCCTTCGCTGAGTTAGACAATGAGCATTTTCTGCTTAGGCTAAGCAGAGATAAGCAATTTCATTGAACACAATAGCTTGGATTCTAATTGAGGAAAAATGCTCAAAATTAGTGTAGATGTTCATTAGGTGAATACCCTGACTGAGTTCGGGGATAAACAATTACTAATTGATACTAACTTAATTACAAAAGCAGTATCTTTTAAACACATTTAATAGTACATGTATGCTATAATTTGTACACCCCTACAAAACTATTCATGGGGCATAATTTTTGTTATTTGTGTGTCAGGTACTAAAAAATTATTTTTGCTCTCTCCCCCCACCTGTTGGCTTGTTGAAATTATTCTATCCTGTTTGAAGTAGCTTTGTATTTGAAATCTGTAGTATTTTAATTAATAGTAGTTATAAATGCATGAAACAAATTGATATCTTACATCTCCCTGGTTGAGTAATAGATTTCGATTTTTAAATTAACTAGTGAAAAAATTCACTGTCAAGTAATTAGTTTTGACATAAATATAGTCTTCTTCATTTTCAACAAATCTCTATTTGATTTCTGGTTGTTAAACAAAAATATTGTTTTCTTTTTCATCCAATATTCTATGGTAATAGTAGAAAATAAAAAGTGTTGTTTTCCTTTCAGATTACCAACAGAGTCCTTTATACAGCCCCAGCCCTCAGATGCCATCCACACCAAATACTCTACGCTATATGCAACATTCTACTCCCTCTAGATTATTCCATCCACGGTAAAAACAGATTTACAAGAGGGCCGTCAATAAATTTGACATGCCCAGTAACTGATTTAATTTTCCTACCCCAAAAACTGTTTTTATAAGCCCACATTTTCATGTGGACGTATATTCTCGTCGCCCATGTCCGTCCGTAGAGGTCACAATCTTTATCCGATTTAGTTTAAACTTGAAATGTATGATTATGACCCAAAGATCTCGGTTCCTTTCGATATTCGCGCATATCGGACTGTAACTTCCTGAATTATGGCCCCTGATTGTACGAAAAATCGCGTTTTTAGCTTGTGGACCCTAAAGAGGTCATAATTTTTATCCGATTCAAAAAAACGTATTATTATATCACCGTTGCACCCTAAGGACGACTGAGTTTGAATTTCATGAAAATCGGCCCAAAACTGACAGACAAAATGGCCGCCGTTCGTTCTCAAATAGCGTAAAAATATGGTATATCAAGGTTGTGGACCCTATAGAGGTCACAATTTTAATCCTATTTTGATGAAACTTGAAATGTAAGTTTATAACCCAAAGATCTCGGTTCCTTTCGATATTCGCGCATATCGGAACTTAACTTCCTGAATTATGGACCCTGATTGTACGCAAAAATCGCAATTTTTGCTGGTGGAGCCCATAGAGGTCATAATTTTTATCCGATTTAAAAAAATGTATTATTATATCACCGTTAGACCCTAAGGATGACTGAGTTCGAATTTCGTGAAAATCGGCCCTAAACTGACAGACAAAATGGCGGTCACAATATAGAGGTCACAATTTTTATCCGATTTTATTGAAACTTGAAATGTAAGTTTATGGTTCCTTTCGATATTCGCGCATATCGGACCTTAACTTCCCGAATTATGGCCCCTGATTGTCAAAAAATTGCGTTTTTAGCTTGTGGACCCTATAGAGGTCATAATTTTTATCTGATTTAAAAAAACGTTTTATTATATCACCGTTACACCCTAAGGATGGCTGAGTTCGTGAAAATCGGCCTAAAACTGACAGTCAAAATGGCCGCCCCTCGTTCTCAAATAGCGTAAAAATATGGTATATCAAGGTTGTGGACCCTATAGAGGTCACAATTTTTATCCGATTTGTTGAAACTTGAAATATAAGTTTATAACCCAAAGATCTCGGTTCCTTTTGATATTCGCGCATATCAGACCGTAACTTCGTGAATTATGGTCCCTGATTGTACGAAAAATCACTCTCTTTTTAGCTTGTTCTCTATCCATCTCTCGAAAATGTGGGCGTATCCTGCATGGCAGCCGCTGGTGGAATTATATAGGCCTACCTATTCTGACTGAAGAAGAAATTGCACACTTTGACATCAGTATTAAAAAAATTTTGTGCGCCTCCCAACCCTCTTTTGAAAATCTTGCATAAGACTCAATTCGTTATTGCTGAAATCCACATACATCCTGAATGTGAATTTCACATTAAATTTACTCATATTATGTTTGGCACAACGGTCCCTTCTGAAGTTTGATTATGGACCATTGACATTGTGTTTTAATTAGTAATAACTCTCTGGAACTCCTATCTTAATAATCTATGTTTATAATATCCAGCAAAGCAAAACCAGAAACTACAGTTAGGTAATGCACATAACCATTATACAAGTTTTTAAATTTAAAGGGTTTTGTGTTCACATATCAACATCACTGAAACATCAGAAATGCATTAGAATATACTTATAACATAATGAAAATTTACTATTTCATAATTTCAGAAGAAAGTCAACAAGTGTACCAGCTGCTTTTCGGAATACGTCGACAACCACATCACCTAATAGTTCCACTAGTGGTAGTTCATCTATTACACCTCAGCCAGCTTCTAGAAAGAAAAGTTCATCATCTAAAGATAGTACAACGTCTACATTAACTCCATCACCTTCCCCGACACCTGGAAAGGTTACTAATTTATTTTTTTTGCTTTTTACAGTAGAAATCGAATTAGAATTAGATCGTTATTTCATGTCAGGTTTTGAAATTTTGTTGGTCTACACTGCATGGAGATCTACCAACTTACTTACTGGCTCTCTATCTATTAGGGTTCATAAATCATGATTTTCATTTTTTCAATCTACTAGTTGGATTATGACATCTGGTGAGCAAGACAGTTGGATAATCATAGCAACACAAAATGCCAAAAATGGTAGTCAGCTGTTTGGGGAGCTGACTTAAATAAGACTGGCTCTATCCAAAACTAGTAATTTAGGAAGCAGAAGATTGGTTGTGGATCAAATCCTCTCCATAGAAAAGTCTTGTTTACTTCACTGTCTCTACCAGCTGAATTTCATATAAATTACAACAATTGCACTGTTCAGCATACTGTTTTGATTAGTATGTTCCACAACTTAAACTTAGCAAACAATTGGCCAATATTCAGTAACTAATGTTTTATTGTAGGTCGGAGAAGAAGCTACGATAGCACTTGCATCATTGAGAGAAAAAGAATCTTGTGATGGTAAGTTGATTTATAATTCATAGTCATTTCATAATAATTTATATGATTCGTCATTATTGAAAGGTAACAAAGATGACTTACCTGATCAGATGATGGCTAAAAAAAATATTAATACAGAAGTTGGTTCTGTTAAGTTGGTGGTAGCAACCCAGAACCAAATTTTAAAAAATCCTGAAGACAGAAATATATATATATTTTTTCATGTATTTGTTTTAGCAGAATTATCTGGAATATTGAAGAAACTGTCACTTGAGGAATATCAACCTATTTTTGAACAGGAGGAGGTATGTCATATTATTACATTAGAAGTACTGGTAAATTGTCTGAATATTGGAAAAACCTCAACAATAAATAATATTGTAGAATTACCAGAAAGTAGGTGTTGTGAGGAGCCAATATGGATTATATCCATTTTATCTGTATCAGATACTTTCTGTTGAAATATCTGCCAATACAGATATTATTACCACCACCAATATACAGTAATTTGCAGATGTTTCCTAATGAAAAGTGATACCCTGTGTTACAAAGCTGAAAAGAATAAATGACTCTTATGGAATATTTAGTTGCTTCATCACCTTTTAATTTATATGCTAACTGCTGGAAGGTATTGCATAATTATTATTATAGAACTATTTTTTTTTTACATATATAATAACAGAATAACATGTTCTTGATTTATCTCTAAGGTTGATATGGAAGCATTTCTAACTCTAACTGAAAATGATTTAGAAGAACTTGGTATCGCTCAGTCTCATTCAAGACGTCAAATATTATCAGCTATTTCAGAACTTAATACAGGCAAGGTAAAAAGTTGTGTTGTGATTATTTATTGCACCCTACTCAAAATTTAATAATAAAGTAGATGTGCAATAACTATTGTTCACACCACTTTACAAACATCTAATATTTTAGGAAAGAGCAACACTCTAACAGTAAAAGTTCCAAAAAGAAATTATTATCTATTTTCTTTAGCCTTCAAACAGATTTTTAGAAATATTGGTTTGTGCTGATTCTGATATGGTTAAAGGAATTCTATAGGAATTAGGGCAATTTAAATTTGCAAAATTAGACATTTTTGCACATCTTCTAATCCACCTGAATGATTTGAATCAAATTCGCTGGGTATTTTGCATTGGTGACATCAAAGAACAGGCAAATGTAGACATTTTTTCATAGACAGAAATTTAATATATTGATAGCCTAACCCAAGCTATCAGTCCCCTCAAATACTTGATTTATTTCATAATATTTTTGATACAGGGGAAGGAAAGACAACAGTTTCATGATACGATGACATCTTTTCAAAGTACTTTAAAATCAAGAATACCAGAATCAGGTCAGTAATTTTGAAAAGATATATCCACCTAAAAATATGTTAAAATTACATTGGTACTTTCTTTTTACTTTTATATTTTAGGCTAAAATAAATGAATATAAAGTTATATGATATTATATTCAAAATAACAACAATATTTTTTACTAGCACTTGTAAAACTTCTTAAAATCACCAAATAATTTGTAAATTGGATGATTTTGCTTCAGGAACTGAGAACAGTGATTTAACGAACTGGGCGATACAAGAAGAAACAGATCCTCATGTTCCTAGTGCTAAATCTAGATCCTCATGACAATACTATACAAAAAATCTATTACCAGTACTCAACACTGTACCAGAATTGAATCTTAATATGTCTTAAACATCCAAAGGCTGAAAAATCTACAGACAGATTGTCCACACAAATGTATAGAGCTGGTTGTAATGCAATGTTCAGTGACATAAAGATACAGTGCTAGCACTGTACATACAAATAATGCTGATGAAATAAATATTTGATGAGGGTTTATTCAAGAATAAACTAAGCTTTGTTGTATATATTGACGAAATATTTGTATTGTAGGACATAATAATAAATTTATCATCTGGCATATGGTTCGTGCAATATTCAAAATAGTGGGCTAAACACTCTGCTTTTTGGAGAAAAAAATTCTATTTTATACAGTTCTACCATTTTTAATAACTAAAAGGTTTTTATACACTTATCTTCACCGGAATAATAATGCTAAACAATGGCTAAGGACATATCTGTTAAATTCTCAAGTTGCTTGTGCCTGTTTTTTTCTCTAGTACCATAGAAGAGTAGTTGAGTATATAGCTCTCCATCATTATAGCTAGAATGGATATCAACTCACCATATTAAAGGAGCCGTTTCAAATATATTTTAGTGAACAAAATTGGTTAATTCTGTATGAAACTTGTATCATAGTGTAATATTTAAAAGTGATAATTTTTCAAAGTAATACAACAGCTGGTCAATTTTATTTGAGATCGTGTAGTAGTGTCTGGATAAATATGCTTATGAGTTTGCCTTTTTGTTGTCATGTTTATCATGTCACTTATTACGCTGATGTAAACAATATTTTGAATTTTTTATCTGAATTAATTATCCTTTTTATATGCCCACATTGAAATGTGGTCGTATATTGCTGTCGATCCTGTATGTCGGTCAGGCGTCCACAATTGCTTGTGGACTCTCTAGAAGGGTAACGTTAATATCCGATTGACTTTAAATTTAAGCACAATGTTTAAGGTCATGAGAAGAAGAAGTCTATTGATTTTCAACAATTTCCAAATCTTGTTGATGCACTAGAGGCTAAAGTTATATAAATTAATACAATGTGTTTAAGGTCATGAGACAAACAATCAAAACAAAATCTAATGATTTCTGATAATTACTTAATGGGTTGCTACTCATAATTAGATTTTAGTGTGTTGTAAATGTTTTCATTACTAACAAAAGAAAAAATATGTGACAACCCTTGTTGACTGCCCGGACGACTTAGCTGCTGTGGGCATGTTTCATTGCCTGGCAACATATCTTTAAACTAGCTAAGTTTCTAACTCAATATATCTACAGTCTTCGACATTAAAAACAAATTATTTGTCAATTTAAATCAACATTGATGTTGTGATCTTACCTGGAAAAGATGGGCTTCTGATATCCAATATTTAAGACAAAATAAACATTTTACCATCCCTACACAAATCGTGTACCATAATGCATTTCTGCACCATTTGTAACAAGGGACTCGACGAACGAGGCTAGACATATTCCACAAGTCATGTCAAATGGTGGCGCAATATTCTTATCTGAGAGCATGCGCAATAAATACTATCGATGTAGACTGGAATAACCAGACGCTAGAGATAGCTATTTGATTGAGACTTCTGGCATATTTCGCCAAACATAACTAATTTGAAATTACAGTAAAAACAGAAACGATTGATTGTAAATCAGTTTATCTACATTTATATTACATTATTATATGCGTTGCGACCCATTTGTGTCAATTTCTAGGTCCCAAATATTAACGATTTAGCTCCTTTAAGCTATTTTGACAATAATTTCTAAACATTTAGAAAGGATAAAGTCAGTTTGTTGACCTTTTGCTGTTTAATTTGCATTCAATAATTCACTTCTAAGAACTGATAGCTGGTGGAATTTGGAACTGGTCCTTTATATTAAATAAATGTACATCATAATGTTATAATCGGTACATGTACAGTGCAAGTTAAAAGATGTATATACTGGTAGATTGCTGTAAATATAATTTATATAATGAATCACACATTAATATATTTTGTATCATGGTAACTTATAGTTTTAGAATGTCAATAATAAATATGTGTACATCCGAGTCATATGAATTTAATATTGTTTTTAGCTTTTTGGATTTATGGCTTATGTCATTAGTACTGTTCCTCATTCATCCGGTGAACATATTTTTGACTTGCTGAAATGATTTCAACAAAATGTCTTCATACCCACAGAGACAATTATCAATTTTGTTCAGAATAAAGAACACGAGATAATTTATTCAAACTTGCTGGCTTTGTTTGGTCCATGATAGAAGAACCATATCAAAACTACACACCAATTTTATCAACCGAACCATTGTAAATGCTCTACAGTCAAATTTTTTATTCCAACTTGCTCAGTAAGTCATAAGAAGGAACATAACCAACATTAGGAGTCACATAACTGCACTATCTCTGCAGCCTTTTGAAAACTCTCTAGATTTCGTTTTTTGTTTGTTGTTTTACAGATTCATCTAGGTCAGAAAGTTTGAGTTTTATATACTCTTCAACAAAAGTAGGGGATATTGAAATGCAAATACTGATGCAAGTTGTGATATGATAAATAATCATGCTTCAAATGGGTTCTACACAGCGAGCAGTAGCCAACATGCTTAATGTGTCACAGTCTGTGATCAGCAGACTGTGGAACCGGTACCACCAAACACACAATGCTGATGATAGACCTCGTTCAGGTCGTCCTAGAGCCACTAAACAAGCCCAGGATGGATACAAATCGTGGACAAACGGCCAATCAGCTTTCTGTAAACTTGTACCAAGTTACAGGAATTCGAGTTACACCCCAAATGGTTAGAAATTGGCTACATGCAGCCCATTTGCATGCGCGACAACCACGTGTTGTTGCCTCCATTAACTCGCCAGCACATGGCAAACAGGCGTCAATGGTGTAGGCAGCGTAGAAATTGGGGTAATCGTTGATGGGTGCGTGTAATGTTCTCAGATGAGTCCAGATTTACTCTGGACTTCACTGACAGGCGTGCTCGGGTTTGGAGGCGTGTAAATGAGCGTCATGCTAACGTTAACGTCAGACAGCATGACAGATTCGGGCGTGGGTCTGTTATGGTGCGGGGAGGAATCACCATGACTGGCAGAATGAACTTGCATATTGTTCAAGGAATCGTCACTGGTGTGTACTACCATGACCACATCCTGGCACCGATAATTCTGCCCTTTGCTCATCGTGCAGGTCGACGTTTCATCTTTCAAGATGATAATGCCCGTGCCCGTGTCGTGAATGACTGCCTCCAGCATCAGCATATTGTCCATATGCCTTAGCCAGCTATGAGTCCTGACCTTTCCCCTATAGACTATGTCTGGGACATGATCGGGAGACGTGTTCGTCGACGTCAACCAACAACACGGCAAGAATTGGCCTTGGCACTGCAAGAGGAGTGGGTCATATTGCCCCAAATTGTGATTGGACGGTTGATTAGGAGATGCCATGACGAATTGCTGAATTATTATTATTATTATTATTATTGTTCGATTTATATATGTCTGAGGATTGGTGGAACAATTACTCATTATTAAGACAAAAATCAAAATCGTCCATTTTCACTTTTGGCAGTATATCTCTTTGCGAGTGAAATGGGGCCGTCAGATAAGCCGCCCATATGAACTGTTTATGTTCATGTGTGGGCAATTGGCCTGTTATTAATATACAGTGGTTTACCTCTAATAAAAACAGCAGTGTATTTCCGCAGTTTTGTACTGTTTCTGAATATCCCCTACTTTTTTTGAAGAGTATATTTCAGAATTCTTTACAGAAAATTAAAGGGTACCTACATCGACCATATTATGTGGTATGTAGTTGAACTGATAGCACAACGTATTGGTCGTGCGACCTTTCTGACTTCACACAAACGAAGGATCTGACCGACGACATTTCAGGCTTCATAGTAACAAAGTTTCGGACAATAATAAATGATGAATAAAGAAAATATTGTTGAAAATTTGTGTATATTTAGTAACACTTCTTTGTTTTTCTTTTATCAAACAGTAAATGAGCTTGATTGACCAATCACTGCTGATGTTTTTATAAGCCCACATTTTCATGTGGACGTATATTGTTGTCACCCCTGTCCGTCCATCCACAATTTGTTTGTGGACAGTCTACAGGTCACAATTTTTATTTGATTTTGACGAAACTTAAAATATAGGTCTATCTCCCAAAAATCTTGGTTCTTTTCGATATTGGCATAAATCACGTTTTTAGATTGTGAACTCTACAGGTCACAATTTTCATGAAACTTTGAATGCATGTTTATAACCAAAAGATCTTGATTCCTTTCAATATTCGTGCATATTGGATCCAAACTTTCTGAATTATGGCCCTTGATTGTACAAAAAATCACGTTTTTAGCTTGTGGTCCCTCTAGAGATTACAATTTTTAGCCGATTTAAGAAAATCTTTGAATATATCACCGTTACACCTTAATGATGGCCGAGTTTGAATTTCGTGAAAATCGGACAAAATGGCCGCCCCTCGTATACAAATTGTGTAAATATATGGTATATCAAGGTTGCAGCACTTTTGGTCCGATTTTGATGACACTTGAAATACATGTTTATAACCCAAAGATCTTGGTTCCTTTCGATATTTTTACGGCCGCGATTATCGAAGATTGAGAATTTGCTTTTTTCCTGATCTACCAAATAACCGTAAGATTTCTTTGTACATACTGTAATAAAATCGAGATTAATGGTATTAGCTTTAATTATCTCACTTTGATTACTGCCATTTTTAAGGGCAAAGTTTGGCTTTACCATGCTAGATCTAGAACAACAAACAGATTATTGAAAGTTTTATTTGTTATGTACATGACCGTATACATTATGAGCAAAGCTACTTGCATGCTACGTGTAAAATATGAAAATGTTAAATGAATCATATAGTACATACATTGTACATGGATCTACCACAACCTGGACATTAAATAAGCAAAAAAAAATAATTATGGAACATTCTTTTTTTTCCTTAATACTAATAGACACTCAAAGATGTCAAAATGATTCAAGCCGTTAGCTTTGTGTCACAAGTCATATCCAGTATACTGTACTATTCCAGTATCAATTTAAGTCATTAAAACAGATAATGTCTTTTACACTTTCATTTCTACATCACTGGAGCTGCTTGCTGTGTTAAAAGGATTCCAAATCTCTTCTTAATTGTCACCCTATGTCTTGAAAATTTATCCTCTGGTGAGAATTTGGCGGGATGTGCAGATAATGTTGGTTTACCATTGGGGTCCGTTTCCTGAAGTAAAAGTTAATAAAGTGTTTATATCAGTGTAGAAATAACATGTACCGGTATCTTGTAAGAATAACCACAACCGTTTTAATTTTTCATTCTACCATAATAGACTAGAAAGTAGTAAAGTTGATTGGAGATCTTTACCGGTATCCTAATTAATACATTTTTAGGTTCTGGACAAAACATGGATGCCTACTTGTATTAGTACTGAGATGTCTTATTTCAAGTTAGTATTTGAGGTTCGATAGAAATTAAAGTACATATATTTCTAAGAACAGTTTGGCGTGTTTCAATAGACTAATAGACTACTGTGACTGTGATAGATGATAACTTAATTACCAATTGAAGACATCCAAATTTATTGTATTAATTATGAAATGAACCAAATCAATTACCACAAAACCTTTGGGAAACAAGACAAAAATAATTTAGATGATGTGCTCGTTTATATGGCATATATAGATAGAAACCTCATCTCTCAACCCTCCGTTCGAGAGAAGAGATGGTTCTAAAATAGTACAAAATTAACTTATTTTCAAGATGTTACATGCATCAGTCACAAAATTAACAAATACGATTGATATCAAAACTAGGGGTATCTACACTTACTTTCATCGTATATACCCTGTTACCTTCATCGTTAAGGTAATATTTCAAGTACATTTTATCAAGATATCTGCTGGTTGCGTTGAAAATAACTTGTAAATTGTGGTTTCAAAGAACGTGTTTACTTCGTTAAACTAAACCGGAAGCACGTGTTCTAACGGTAGACGCAAAATTTCAGACCACAAAAAGGCAGATAAATAAAGTGAAACGAATTAGAATCACTATTAGCACAACGCCGGTTGTAAATACCGTGGCGTAGATGGTATACATAGATAGTGTTTATGTTCATGAGACGAATAATCCTATTATGGTTATATTATTAGATGAACGTTATATAATATTATAATCCAATCGATTTCTGACAATTAGGGATTCACACTGGTCACTGCGTAGCTTGTGTGAAACACTATTAAATCGGGTTTTTTTTTTTTGTCTGAAACTTTGAAATTGCTATTACTAAGATTATTATTCTTTTTGCCGGTAGGCCTACTCCTTATTTCCCAGAGTCTGCTTTAGATATTGATTATCAGTTACAAACTCTCGAAGGATATGATATATGCCATCATTAGGCCTACTTATTAAAACAATTTCGAAAGTTCTACCTGGACTCTAGAACTTAGTGCCCGAATGGTAGAAAACCGGAAGTCAGCCGTAGGGTCTAATAAGTAGCAGTTGACAATTTCGAAATTTCGTCGCTGTCTATTTAAGTTCGAAAAGTTGTTCACGAAACAATTTTTGTTATTTTTCAAAATTTTCAAACTTGACCTACATTTTGGGATACCCAAAGCCAACCCAATTGGAGCAAATAAAGGTTTCATTCAGAGTTACCGCCCTTTATTTGTCGAATTTTAAAAAAAAATTCTGCCCATTTAAAAACTTTTTTTTGAAAAAAAACCCCGGCCTAATGGATGTTTCTAAAACTTCATGAACATGAAGTCCTATGCCCATCCCTTTGAATAAAACTATACCGACAATGATCCGTAAACCGGAAGTAATCGAAATAATGTCAAATATTTTGGAAAAATGGATTACCATATGATGCCCAATATGGCAAAATATGACACGCCGAAAATAAAGTATTTTCTGTTTTTTAGCCTTTTAGGACGCCTTCATCTCGAAAACTACTCCAGCGATTTTTGTTGAACTTTCTATATCAAATATCCTTTCGTTATTCTTGTGCAGGATAGCATTCAATGTGGCTTTGAACTAACTGGAATAGGAGAAAAAAGGGACTAAAAATCGAAAAAAGACGAAAAATCATTAAATTTGGGAAAATGCTCAATTATTTTTTTATTTATACAGATCTTCAAAAAAGGTTTATTTATTTTGATAGCTGATCTAATGACGATTCTGATGATTTATAATATGTAGTGAGTAATTAAAATTTAATTTTCGATATTTTGACATTTTTGCATTTAGGACACATTTGAACAAACAATTTCTCAGGGGAAATTCATCTGATCAGATAATGTAATATCTCATTATAGAGCCCTGGTACGATTCAAATGCTCAATTCGGTTGTTAAAAGTAGCTAGACAGTGATTCGTATACTGGAAGTAGTCCTACAAATGAAAAAAAAGGAAAAAGTAAAAGGTTTGGTGCTCTTGCAAAAAACTTGATTTCTTCCTCAGATGTCACCAGATCATTACAACTAAAGTGTCGTTGGATAGCCCGAATAATGGACTATTATGTGGCATCCAAATGATACAAATTCAATGGTTAGGCAATAGATTATGAGACCCCGAATATCTAGTGTTTTACTTTCTGGGGCCTATTCAGACGCTTTTATCTCGGAAACTACTTTTTTTTCTTTTCATAAACTTCTGTTATTTAGATTCCTATCGGTTTTCTAGGGTGTGAATCCAAATGAGTTTTATTTATTATTCGTTTAAAATCATGATGTTTGATTCCAATGGTCAAATAGTATAAATCAATACGATCATATTGATATCAAAAAATTGTTTCTAACAACTTCGTTGCCGACAAATAACCATCGTTTCTTACGATTTTGCGCATTTTAATTTCAGTTTATGGGTTCTGGGTTAATTAATTATTGCCTGATTTGTATAAAAGTAAAGCTCATATGCCCTGTGGTGCAAATTCTCAACTTTTTTCTACCGATAAAGTTTTCTGTCGGGACCGAAACTGACGTAATTTTGTCCAAAACTTCAATTTTGACGTGTCGAAAGGTCGCTTTTCAAAAGAACATATTAATGTTTACAAATCTGACCGATCAAGATAAATACTCCTACTAAAGACGCAAAATGTTTCGGGCTTAGTTTTTATATCCCTGTTTTGTATTTGCGCCATTTTGATTTAAAGGTGAAGAAAAGGTGTAAAAATGAGCTATTCTGCATTGCATTCAGGCTTTTTATATTTTAAAATATTTCTTGACAACTTTCATAAACCTGTAGCAATAATCCCAACGAAGACTATCTATGTCAAAATTAATTTGTAATTAGCAGTTTCCAAGAAATGGACAATTTTTTATGAGTCACTTTTCACGTTATTTTGCCCGTAAAGAAGTTAATTATAGTCTGCTTTATCGATATGTTTTCACCAAGTAATGCCTAACGACACTTTTGTCTGGGCGGAACCAATTTTATATTTTCAGTATCACCTAATATGGCGTCATTTCGACATAAACTCTATTTTTAGCCCTAAAAATATTTTATTCATCTGAGTCACATTTGTCCTTTCTTTTTAAAAAAAAAAAAAAAATTAAGATATTTGCTTACAATGAACAAATAGAATGAACCCATGCGAACATTTAGATATATCGCAAAATGGTTTCTAACTTGTACGGTTGCAGAGAAATAGACGATTTACTACAAGTCACTTTTCAAGGTTTTTGGTCCATAAAAGTGTCAATTATTATTCGATTTTTATAAAAGATTTCACCATGTAATGCCTTATGCCATTTCTGATTTCCTAGAACTAATTTAACATTTTCATTATCACCGAAATTAATGTCATTTTGGCAAAAATTGTATTTTTAACCTTCAAAACAATATTTTTTTGAAGTGCGTTATATTTATTATTCGTTTAAAATTATGATATTTGATTCCCATGGACATATATATATATATTGGATCACAAATTGATTCTAGCATCTTCCCTTGTCGAGAAAAACAACAATTTTGTCAGGATCAGTTTTTAAAACTTTTTCGCATTTTAATTTTCCATTAGAAAATCATCTAACTTAGCGGTAAGTTAGTAACAAATTTTGTCATGATCACTTTTTTTCACATTATGTAACACATGGTAACAAATGTATAAATGGAATTGATATTGCTGGATTTGGTTGATTCTGTATCCATTTTATAACACGTGTGCAATGCTTATGTGGAAATCTGTTTAACGGTTTCATTGGTACCGGAAGTGACATAAGTTCAAGTTAACATCGCACCGGAAGTGACATAAGTTCAAGGATAACGTGGTACCAGTGAAACCCGTCATTACTGCATCGCAGTTCTAGATACTGTTGGAGTTACATGCAAACAACGAGGTATCTATAATTATCTAAGCATTTATAAATGTTTAAAAGTTGTGCCGAAAGAAGTTTTGGATTTTTTTTTAGCAGAATTTGAAAGCACAATGAAGTACAGCTATCTGACAAACAAATGGCTGAAATGCAAGAGCACTTTATTGAAAAAAGGCAAAAAAACAACAAACTAAAAACAATCGGTAGAATGGCCCCAAACCCCCAAACTACCCCGCTCCCTATCTCCAAGACAGAGTTGTCTTCCCTAGCAGTAGAATGCCCCGCTCTCTGTACTCTACCTTTTTTTCGAAATAGTCTCTGCAAGCACACACCCTTTTCCAAAGCCTTCAGTGTTATCGGTGCATCATTACACGTGCTAGTGTTATGGACTTTAAAATTGTTAATATTTTACACAAATCAGGATCGTTTATTTTCTACAATGCATTAAGGAAGTATTTATAATATGCAATAAAATTGTCCCAATTATCCCCTATCTATAAGGAATATAGTAGGATAGACGCTAGAAGGAGGTAATAAAAAAAAAATGTTTTCATCTAGTAACCATGGCGTGGATAAACAAAGTGTTGAGAAGTATCGATTCCCTCTTTTACTGTCAATGGTTCACAACAATGTCTAATATCAACCAACAGCCAAATCATTTAAATTATTATGACGTGTTCGCGGTTAAATGAATTATTTATTGATAACTAGTTCAGGAAAGACACTGTTTAGACTACAAAAAAACGTGTGCTGCAGTTAATTTGGAAATTATATGTTTAGGTGAGTGGGTCTTTTTTTTTTGTCATACCTTATGAATTTCAAATGCATGTCATTGAATGTTTATGACAGAAAGATATGCCTCAAGCTGAAAGTATGTTTAAACAGCGCATATATAAGTTATTGAGAGTGTGTACTGATTAACAGTGGACTTGTTATTGATATGGGAATGATATAGCTGTAAAAATTACACTTGTAATTTATATAACGGATTTATGGCCTACAATAGCCATAGCTATATATATTTTAGAAATAGATAAACCCACCTTATTTAGTAATATAATGTATTGGTATGTCGGGTATGTAAAAGTAATATTTAATTTGCACAAACATCGTCAGATATATTGAACTCTAATGATCTTTTTGTAAAATTATCTTTTCTTTTTCTTCAGAATATGGATTCCTGGATACGGTATACAGATCGAGTTTGGTAGCGACGTAAATATTCCTGGGAAATATTTTCATGTTTCAAATAACAGTGACTGGGTTTCCTTTGTTTTTTATTATGTTAAAATTCTCTCTATCGTGTGATCTGACAACTTGTCCACAGTATTGTACATGTCAAATGAAAAGTGAAAAGCTAACAGTAGATTGTAGCAGAAATGACGGAAAACAGAGCCCAGTTTCTGTACCAATATGTGAAAACGCTTCTTTATTAATCAATATTTCCTCCAATGAATTGACCGAATTGGTAATTAGACGTTATGAACATTACACCACTGTTATTCTGGATGCGAGCAATAATCAAATACATACGATTTCCAGTGAATCAAAAAATCATGTTTTACTGAATGAACTAAATATTGAAAATAACAGTTTAGAAAAAATTCCCGTGGATCTCAAAAGTATTTTTAAAGATATGCAAACGGTCCTTTTTAAAAATAATCCTTGGAAATGTGATTGTGAATTAGGTTGGTTGGTGTCTTTAATTAAAAGTTCAATAATCGAAAAAGAGGATAAATTTACAGATATAGACATGGTTACATGCAGTAACCCAAAAGAGCTTGTTAATATTAAACTGCAGGATTTTAATAGCCAATGTGATCGCCATGATGGCAAGGACAAATCTGCTTTAAAGCCATGGCAAATTGTTTTAATTGTATTTGGCATCTTGTTGTATTTATCCCTGGCATCAGCTATAGGGCTTTGTATTGTACTGAGACGTCGTATCCGGATAACCGCTAACTAATTTATACCATAAATTTTTTGATTTGTTTTGTAGATAGAATTATTTTTGAAGTAATAAATATCACACGTTATAAAAAGCTAAATATTATTTATGGATGACTGTCCTGTACAAGATAGAACCAGATCACCACCAAGACTTAGTCTCGGTGATGCGGGGCTGGTAAGGAACAGTGTCTAATTGTTCAGATGGGACGAAAACCCGAGGTCTCGTGTACACGTTGGTGTGCACGTAAAGGATCCTTGGCAGATGGAATTCGACGAAGAGCAGGCGGAAACGCCGCTGTCCGAGTAAACATTTCCCAAGAGCACGCTGCATGGAGTAGGCATAGGAGGCCTATGCTCGTCTTCATTGTTGCACGGCTTCTGCGCCATCTTTAATATAGACTGGACTTCTTGCGCTAAATCATTGAACTTGACTTAATAGGTTTTTTTCTGGCCTTAAAATATTTAGTAGAAAGGCACCCATGTTTACGTGAGATAGTATCATTTTGTTATTCGCGAACTTTGGCTCGGCGAGTGTGGCCGAGAAAGTTTCTCGGGATTTTCCAGGCAGCAGGTTTCCTTTTGTCATCGGTGTAGAACGGATGGCCTGGTGATAAGGCGTCTAGTCATTCGGATGAAACTGAAAACCGAAGTCTGTAAACGAACCCATGACAATTTCAATTCGACGATGTACACGCCGCTATGCTGGTAAATTTTTTTATCATGGTTCATTGCATGGGTCAGGCCCGGATCCAGGATTTTGTCGGGGGGGGGGGGGCTTACATTGGAGCAAAGGGTAATCATCAGAGTGCCGCATGCATTAGTGGTTTGGTGTAGTCCCCGGAGTCTTCGTCGCGGCCTCATTCCGAAAGCAATTGTATACGCATTAAAGAGCAGATATGTGAACTACAACAGTAACAAAGCAAATGAAAATTCCGCCGTCTAACGATTTGGAATACGCCAGCCACGAATGATCGTCTAGCCATCGACGTTGAAATGATCGCACGCGATTACCTTCTTGATGGCGAGGAAACACAAAGTTGCGATCCAGTTTCGAACAATTTTTCAATAAATCATGGTTCATTGCATGGGTCAGGCCCGGATCCAGGATTTTGTCGGGGGTGGGGGGGGGCTTACATTGGAGCAAAGGGTAATCATCAGAGTGCCGCATGCATTAGTGGTTTGGTGTAGTCCCCGGAGTCTTCGTCGCGGCCTCATTCCGAAAGCAATTGTATACGCATTAAAGAGCAGATATGTGAACTACAACAGTTACAAAGCAAATGAAAATTCCGCCGTCTAACGATTTGGAATACGCCAGCCACGAATGATCGTCTAGCCATCGACGTTGAAATGATCGCACGCGATTACCTTCTTGATGGCGAGGAAACACAAAGTTGCGATCCAGTTTCGAACAATTTTTCAATAAATCATACCGCTCCAAATCAGTCAACTGCTTCTCCCGATTCAGAGCTGTCGCAATATCAAGATAGTCAGGCGGGTCAGGGGCCGGCCCACACTGGATCGGAACGACTTCGACTGGTGGTTCCTTTGATGTAGACGGTGCCTCAGCCGATGCCGGAATCTGTGACTGATCATCGGATGTATGCCTGCTTTCAGGCACAGGTTCAAAAAACGTGCGTAACGAAGATTGTTTCCCTGAAGCCATTCTGAGGTATGTAGAAAACATTGAAATAAAGGTGAAACCTTACCGAATAATTAAAAAAATTGAATTAGAATTAGTATACGCATGTGATTTCACGTAACCTAGATTACTTTTGCACTGAGTGATAAAACATGACACGACTACCATATAGGTCCTATTGCAGCTGATGAGTAAGCAGTGGCGGCGCCAAGGGGGGAGGAACATTTGCCCCTTCCCCATAATTCTGGTCTGCCCTCTGTTTGCCCCCCCCCCACCAATAATTTTAGAAAATAAAACCGTATTTGGTCGGATAGACTAATGATCAGGCGAGAGATGGCATCTGATGAGCTCTATTTATCTCTACAATCGGTGCCTGAATACTGTCAAACAGCATTTCCCACAGTCTATTTTTCAAAATTTTCTTGGGGAGGTGCCCAATACCTCCCACAAGGAATTGCTACTTTGGCGCTCACAAGGGGACTTCGTTGAGGTTCGCAAGTCCGTTCGTTTGACATTTTGTTCTCTGGTCGGATAAACTAGTGATTAGTCGACGGAACGTATCTGTCAGATCTACTTGTCTCGACGATCGGTGCCTGACTGAATCTATATTTCAAAATGTTGGGGGGAAGGTCCCCCATACCCTCCGTAAAGACTCCCTTCTTTGGCGCCACTGAGTGGGCTTCGTCGAGGTTCGCAAGTCTGTTCGTTTGACACTGTACCTCAACAATCAATGCCTGAAATACTGCCAGGCTGCATTTTCGGTAGCCCGTTGTTCAAAATTTTCTGGGAGAGCCCCCCCCCCTACCCCTAGTTAAAACTCGTGCCTTTGCCCCCTGAACCTTGGACTTTTCCCCAGCTTTGCCCCTCCAACCACCGACGGCGGGCGCCGCCACTGTGAGTAATTTAATGGGATTATTAACGATATTTGATATATTTTTTAAAAAAATCAACAAATACTGCTACTGAATCATTCTGATAAGTGAGTTTGGAATTATTGACGATAGCCTAATTGATGAGTAAGTTGGGATTATTGACGATAATTTGTATAAATGAACTAGGTACGAAACAGCCAGGTTACAAAACAGCCTGCACCCCAATTGGCAAGACAGAATTGTAAAATATTGTGGGTTAAATCCTATTTCGTTTCGTCCCTCTAAGATGCCCAAGTCTGGCTAAATCTATTTGTTAAGGCAAGCTCAATTTTCGCCAAGGTCGCTGAAATGTTAATAAGGTTAGGGCACGTGATTGAAGGCGAGATTGTAGGTTAGGGTAAGAAAGCATTTGGGCTAGGTCCAGGGTTAGGGTAAGCGCTAGCCTTGTTTAAATCTCGTGACCTTTGACCAATGAATGGAATTCCCCTTCAGCCTCGATCTGATATAAGACCAGGCGGTATTTCCCAACAATACGTGGGGATTCCCTTGTACAACGGGTTGATGGACTTTTACCTCGGAAGGTTGTTTAGTGATAAACTATAACTATGTCACCTTTTTTTAATAGTAGCAGGTTAGTCATACTAAAAAACTGCATAATTCCAGTAACGCTAGATCAGTTCAAGAAATACCATTTGAATAATATTATAAGTCGATTGCCAAGATGTCAGTATAACACCGATATCATCAGACCGATCAACCAGTGCCGTGATGTCTGCAATCAGAACCTACAGTGCTACAGATTAAATATAACATGTATACATAATTTCACTACTTCACAAAGATGCCAATCTAGTTATAAACGTGAAACTATTGAGAAAAAACTAATTAAACACATGGATATGTGGGAGATGGAAAAGGGTGTAGCATTACTAAAAACTTCGGTTAAAAATGGTGTTGTGCCCCACGAGAATATAATTCTAAATTTATTGCAACAACTTGCCAATCTTGGAGAATTTGAGGGTTTGTTAAGTCTGCACGAATTCTTGATAGATGAAAAATTGTGTTCTGAAACTAAATTCTTCCATTGTTTACAAGAGGCATATTATAACAGTGGTCGTGTTGATGAGGGTATGTCCGTATTACGGTTGTTATATCATAGAACACGGAGATATCAAAGTGTAGATACTTTATTCACTCTACTGGCTGTTATGGTTATTAAACAATTTCCACACAAAATAAATGTGATAGAAGAGTTTGTGGAAGATTGTCGTGAAATGGATCCAGCTGTTCTGGAACCTGGAGCAGCCTTGTGGAAAAGTTTTCTGTTGACGGAACATTTCGATAAAGCCAATGAATTATTAGGATCACAGGAAAATATTCAACAGTTTATCCCATTGATGATCAATGATATTGTATCCAAGAAAAATAATGTGGATTTCAATAAAGTTGTGGTGTTTAAAAATATTTTAAGTGCCGATCTGCCAATTAAAACAAAACTGAGGACATTAATCTTACAGTCATATATACAAAGTTTATGTAAGTTAACAGATTACATTCCTACCTGTAAGATAGTCTAATGCTGTTATATAAATACACTTAAAAGTGATATAACTGTTATTGAAATAAGAATATATGAAAAGGTTTTGTTTTTGATGTCCATACATGTATATATTCAAATAAAATTAAGGGATATAGCCTGCCAAGTCGATAGTACTGAGCGTTATCAGTGGAACAATTACTAGTATTTTGCAACTTAGAACATTGTACATATATTTTTAGGTGAAAATGGTGAAGTTAATGAAGTTTTTGAGGAAATGATGAAAGCAAAGGCAGCATCAATAGCTTTACACAAGTCAACTTTTTTGACGATTTTACAATATCTACAAGACTGTGATGAGTTAAATGATAAACAAATTGAACAGTTAGCTATTCTAAAAGATTGGTATTATATAGACTCAGAATAAAGGTGAAATAAACTGTGAAATAGTAAGTTTTATGAGGGAATAAATTTTGTACACTAATGTGAAGTTTATAGATCAACATCAATTGATAAATGCATTAGCTTTTGAAGGTGTACCTTCTGTGATTGCTTAAAATTTTACAAATAGAATTTTTTTTTTTGTTATGACTTTTAAATACCAGCGGTTGCCAGGCAAGCTAAGCCCACATTTTGGGCATAAACATATATTTTAAGTTGCATCAAAATCTGATAACAATTATGACTCCTATAGGGTCCACAACCTTGGTATGACATACTTTTACACTATTTGCGTACAAGGAGCCGCCATTTTGTCAGGCAGTTTTGGTCTTGATTTTAACAAAATTTGAAATCAACCGTCATTAGGGTGTCATTAGAGTGTAACGGTGATAAATTTAAACATTTTTAAAAATTGGATAAAAATCGTGACCTCTAGACGTTCCACAGGCTAAAAACACGATTTTCATAAAAACAGGGACCATAATCCAGGAAGTTACAGTCCGATATGCACAAATATCAAAAGAAGGCACAATCTTTGGATTATAAACATAGGCCCAACATTTCAAGTTTCATCAAAATCGGACAAAAAAATTGTGACATCTAGAGTGTCCACAAACAAATTATGGAAGCATGTCTGGGCAGACAGGGGCGACGGCATAATACGTCCACATGAAAATGTGGGCGTATAAAAACTGAATGATTTTTGTTGTGAATTTGTTGAGAAAAGATTGATATATTTTAAGGGGCACTAACTCTTTTAGTACTGCAAAAAGATTATATCCTCAAATCTACAGTTGATTAAATTTAATCAAATAAAATCTTTAAAATATTTATTTTTCCTTATGCTTTTACATCAAGTCCCAAATACTTATGAAGGCCATAACAAAGAAACATTTCCAATCTTGTCTTTACAAAAGTGTCAACTAATCATTTAAAATGGCACAATATTATCATCGCTGTAAACATCTGGCAATACTCACAACCATAAGAGCAATGTATACATGTATTGTGTACTGCAAGAATATCAAAATTTCCAGGGGAAAAAGCTCTACATGCATATGGAAACATACATTGCTATATTAGTACAAAATATTATACAGGTACTATTTACAAATGAATGTCTAGCTGTTCTTGTTATAATAGTTCAAAAATGAATGAATGTATTGAAAATTTCGTTCAAATTACTTTATTCTGAGCGAAGCTATCAATGTTTGTAGTTTTGACAAAATGTGTGCATTGATTGTTAGTTGTTCGAGACTTAGCCTTGCTTCTCCATTTATAAATTAAATCATTAAATGGCCGAACCTTTCTAATCTACATCTACTTGGAATCCGAGCCATCCGATGGCATCAAGAGTTTTTTTTTATGGCCTTATCATGTTAATAAATGTCTAATTAATAATGTATATAACTTTTAAGGCCTAAAGAAAGACCTGCAATAGACAGATTTCGCTCTTGAATATTGCATTCATTATTAATTAACAGGTTTTATTGAAATTCTGTTGACATCAGGTAAGAACATAACATTAGTTTAATAATTAAACCTTGTTTATTTGGATAATAATCATGGATTAACATAATATATACAATCATCCATGTAAGGCACTATTATTAAAACATAAAATAGTATTTCCATTAAATTAAACATTATGTAAATACTTCATTATTGTAATACTACATGTAGTAAATATAATTAAATCATACTAGATCTACAATCATGTTGTATTATTAAATGTCTTACACAGAAACTGAAAAGAAAATCTGAAGCACAATATATTACAATCTTTATTCTCATCATCAACAATCAAAGTCCCGATGCACTATTTTAAGCAGAATCATGTTTCGTCTAAAAACGATTGAACCAGTTGATTAAATTCCTTGGCATATCTTAGGTGTAGGTTGTGTTTTCCTTCTGGAATGACATGTAATCTGAAAAAGAAAATCCAACACAAAACAAAGAAATGAAGATTGTTGTAGGAATATAATAATAATCACTAAGAACGAAATCAGTGTATATATAAAGGGACCTGTCAAATTCCATTTGGCTACATTCTGTAATATTCCCTCCAACCTGTGGAGAGTTTGTCAAAAAATTTAAATGTAGAAATTAATAAGCTGTTGAAATATGGTGATAATGGTAAATATCACATGATTGTAAATCCTACACATGTAAGCACTACTAAAGTATTACTTTCAATCACTTTCTTGACCATATAAAAATAAGGAAGCTGCACAATAAATGACCTGGGTGTATGATCTTCTAAATCTACATTAGATTATCTATAAATGTATATAGCTTCTCAATATTTTAACTCAATGGTGGTCCATGGGAGACAGCGGCCAGTAAAAGCTATTCTTAGCCACTGAAACTCACTGAACAGGTTGATCTTCATCAAGTGAAATAACAGAAAATAAGGTAATATTAGATGAATAGCTACTTGAAATACAGTTGTTAAATAGGGTGTCTTGAGTTTTGTGAAGGTCTTGTTTCCTGCCTTGTCTAATCATAATAACTTCTATGAACACTTGTCTTAAATGGCGCATATCCATAATGACAACAGGCCCATGCAGGGATCAAGTGGAACTGAAGACCTGCGCTATTCTGAGGTGAAAAATCAGGTGAATGCTTAAGAACTTGCATACATTACATACAAAAAAATTTACCTTGAATTGCTAATATTTTCATGTAAGTAATTTGGATGTTCCTCAATAACAAGAGGATCTTTTTTACCATGTATGATAAAAGTTGGACATTTAATATTCTTTAAATCGTCTTTACAGATGTCACCTACAAAAACATAATATTATATAGCTTAGAAATTCAATTATAGTTTTTAAATATGAACAAATATGTAACTTGCATATATACAATCTTATGTGGAGCACTTTTTGAAACCTTTTGGAATTGAATGACCGGTGAAATGAACTATTAATAAAGTTACTACCCAGTATTTCTGAATTTGATAAGACAGAATGGAATTTGATGTTTTGTGGAAACTTTACATAATCATTCTTAGGAATCAGTAGAATCACACAGCACAGATTAAATTCTTGTGTCCTTTTCAGACCAGCCTTGTAGAAAGTTTTGGATGATTTTACTTTTGGATAACAAGCCGAGTTGCATAGCTTTTTTTATTTACCCATATGCTTTGCAAGGTAGGAGTATTTTACGAATCTTTTTGATTGACTCTAACCAGGGAGATTATCTGTCATTGATATTTTGAATTTTTTGTCTAAATTAAATTTTATATAAATAATAAGAGAACATTTTAGCTTGGATTAAGCATTGGAAATTTATATATTGTCCGAAACATGCAAATGACAATCAGCAGCATTAATATCAGTATATATAAAAAGGAAAACTCCACCCACCATCTCTCTCATAATAATATCTGCAATATGCCTCAATCCAATTCTTCCACTGAGTTCTAAAATATTTTTCACCATAAACCTTGATAAATGGTTCACGCATTCTGGCACTCCATGTATCAATATTCGACAACCCTAAATAAGCAGACATAACAAAATAAAGTTTTGTTACTTATAGTGCTCAATTCTTTAATTTGAAAATACACAACTTTTTAGAGTTAAAAAGAAAATCCTAATAATTAACATTAAATCACATTACCTTTAAATAAATCCACATCAGTAGGTGCCACATATGCATTTGATCCCCACACAACCAGGCGATGAACCAATTCTGGATACTGAGCCGCCAATATTAATCCCGTTATACCACCATCACTCCAACCCAGAACAGAGAACTTCTTATAGGATAATCTCTGTAATATGTTGTATACAATAGAAATTAACACCGATTCCCAAAAGGTAATAGAAAGGTTATCAGACCAAGAGTGTTTAACATTATCTGAAGTAGTTCAAAATTGTTGTGCAGTGTGTCTCTATGAGTTGGTCATTTCACTTAAAATAATATAACAGGGATTTTCGTACAATAAGAGGCCATAATCCAGGATGTTACAGTCCGAACCGAGATATTTGGGATGAAATTCGAACTCAAACATCATTAGGGTGTAATGGCAATACATTTGGAATTGAATACAAGCTAAAAATGTGAGTTTTTGTACAATCAGGGGCCATAATCCAAGAAGTTATGCACTAATATTGAAAGATTACCGAGAACTTTCTGTTATAAACATACATTTTAAGTTTCATCAAAATCAGATAAAAATTGTGACCTCTAGAGTGTCCACAAGCTAAAATCATAATTTTTTGTATAATCAGTGGCCATAATCCATGAAGTTACGGTCTGATACAAGCCAATATCGAAAGGAACCAAGATGTAAACCTATATTTCAAGTTTCGTCAAAATTGGATAAAAATTGTGATCTGTAGATGAGTATCCACAAACAAAATGTGAACAGGCACACGGACAGACAGGGGCGACAATAATGTATGTCCATGAAAATGTGGGCATATAATAACATTACCAGTGCACATGATTATATATTGGCATAAAGATAGGTTGCAAGGCAATGAAACATACGCCCACAGCAGCTAAATCGTCCTGGCAGTCAACAAGAGTTGATGCATATTCTTACTTTTGTCGGTGATGAAACATTTATAATACACTAAAATCTGATTAAGAGTAACAATGTTTAACTCATTAAGCAATTATCAGAAAGACATTAGAATTTGTTTAGCTATTATTTCATTGTGGGCGTATAAAAATCATGACATTAAAAAGAAATTACCTTCATTAATCCCACAGCATCATCAGCATCTCTTCTAAAGTAATCTAATGGCCAGTCTCTTTCTGGTGGAACACTTTGACCATAACCCCGTGGATCAAATGATATCAGAGAAAACTTCTCTTTATTGAAACCAGTTAACTGAGGTTCAAAATCGGTTTTAGACGAACCTAGAATGTTAACAAAATATAGCACAATTTTACATAACAGTACTTTTATCTATATTTGTAGCTAGTTCTGGTTAAGTGAGATATTTAGTTTTGAACTTGTTATACATCATAATATTAATTTAAACAAGCCAACAGTGAGGCTGATGTCCCCCGCCGAAATTGCAAAATAAATAGATGACACATATTAATTAATCGCACATTTATTTTTTTCACTAAGTTTCATCACTCTCTATCAGATAGAATCAAGATTATCTTGTCCCAAACCATCGACAAATGAAATCGATTAGCTCTGCTTAGCTTCAGCTCGAAATGTTAATTATTGAACTCAGTCAAGACATTCACCTAATGAACATCTACATATACATCAAGTTTAAACATTCACCTAATAGACACCTATGCCAAGTTTGAACATTCTACCTCAATTAGAAGGAGAGTTATTGTGTTCCAAAGTTTCTACCAATCAAATTGCTTATCACTCTGCTTACCCTCAGCAAAAAATGTTCATTATCGAACTTAGTTAAGGTATTCATATAATAAATCTATACACCAAGTTTCATCAATCTCACTTAATTAGAACTAAAGTTATCGTGTCCCAAAGCATCAACCAATCAAATTGCTTATCTCTGCTTACCCTAAGCGGAAAATGCTCATCTTCGAACTCCATCAAGGCATTGACCTAATAAACACATACACCAAGTTTGAACATTCTAGCTCAATTAGGAAGAGAGTTACTGTGTCCCAAAAAGTGTGACGGACAGACAGACAGACAGACGGACGAACCCATTTTAATAGTCCCCTGCTTTCTTCGAAAGGCGGGGGACAAAAAACAACCAGTGATTGTAAAATATTTAAATGAAATGAGTTTTAACGTCCTACTTTTCTACACCGACTGACCTATTGAAGAGAGGCATACACCAGAGTGCCATAAATGAAGTTTTGCCTGGACAGCGGCAATACAGCCCTTCTCTTTTTTCAAATTCCAATTGTCAAGTTGTTTTTTTTTCATGTGCATACCGATGTGTACACAGGACCTCGGTATTTTTGGGGTTTTTTTGTCCCTTCTGAATAACTAGGCCCTCAGTCCTGCACCACCGGCAAAGGAAAACCATGCCGGAAAATCTTTAGGAAGTTTCTCGGCCAACATAGGGGAAGAAACCTACACCTCCTGGCTAGCGAGCCAGTGTCTTACACACTGAACCTCCATGGCTACCAAATAGTTAAACAATACAATACTCCATCCATAGCAACCCCAAAAAAGCAAATTTTGTGAATTTCTCATAAGATTAAGTCATTTTTGAAGACAAATCTGTTGGAAACACATGTTTCAAGACCTGTCTGAAATAAAGGGCATTTACTCACTTAGCCAGGGCTAAGAAAAATACACTATACTACATCTCCTATTGATCTAATGAATGCTACATGCATGAAGAGAGGCCAGACATTCCAGTATAATTGAGTTGAATGATCAGTCGGCCAATTAAGTTAATTATAAATAATGAATATTTCTCACCGAGTGCTCCTGGCAACAATAATAACACATGATTACCCACACCAGACTTCACATAATGTATTCTTGCACCATTTACTTGAACTCTCTGTGATTCTAAACCACTATAAATTAGAAATTGAAAGCTTTATACGAAACAATCTTAAATCATAATTGATTCTATTTCATTCCACGTAAGATTGCATCTTTATTTAGCTTAGCAAATCCTGCATCTATCCACTATGTTACATTCCGGATAATATACACCCACTGCCCACATTGTCAATGAATGTGATAATTTGTCTACTAACTGAGATATTTCATTAATCTTCCCCAAAATATTTTTATTACTTCGAGATACTTTAAACATACATTATGCAAGAGCTAAATCTGTCTATTGTAGGTCTTTCTTTCGGCTTCAGATGTTATAGAAATTATTAATTAGGACCTTTATTTACACGACAAGCTCAAAATCAACTCTGTAGACCCACGGATAGCTTGGACTTAAACAGTTGTTCATTTAAAATTAAATCAATAAATGACGGACCAAGAGAACGTTTACTGTTAGTCGCTGATGTCACTACCGGAAACTGGTAATGAAAGGCCTGCCAAGCAAGGCTACCATAGCCATTAAGCATGTTAATTGAGAATATGTAGGTGGAGTTATCGTCTGTCAATCAAACGATCACCAATTCTCATAGACGGTGCGGACACAATTGATTCCTATTTCTCGTCCAAACTTCCAACAGTGACAATTCCGTTCAGAACAAAGTAATTTGACTGAAATTTTCAAAATTTTCTCTTTTTTTTATCATCTATTTTTGAATTATTATAGCAAGAATGGCCAACTCTTTATAAAACTCTTAACTAATGTATCTTTAAGAGAAACTCTTTTTGACAATCTACAAATTTTAATGTAGTTGTGGTGATGTATTATGCTTTCAACATCATGAATGTGCTGACTTTGCTGAGAAATACATGTGTAATGCACACGTTACGTAATAGACTGCATAGTGCCTGACGGTCTATAATAATTTAATTTATTGTGGGAATATTAAGCAATCAGAGCCTATAATTTGATTGTTCATTCATGATCATTAAAAATACTATTATCAGATAGTAAAATATGTTTAAGATGACTCAATCAGATAGAATCAAAGTTATCTTGTCCCAAAGCATCGACCAATGAAATTTCTTAGCTCTGCTTAGCTTTAGCTCGAAATGTTAATCATTGAACTCAGTCAAGACATTGAGCTAATGAACATCTACATCAAGTTTAAACATTCTACCTCAATTAAAAGCATCATTAATTCTCAGTTATCATGCCACAAAGCATCAACCAATCAGATTGCTTATCTCTGCTTACCGTAAGCAGAAAATGCTCATCTTCGAACTCCATCAAGGCACTGACCAAATAAACACCTACACCAAGTTTGAACTTTCTAGTTCAATTAGAAGGAGAGGTATTGTGTTCCAAAGTCAATCAAATTGCTTATCGCTCTGCTTACCCTGAGCAGAAAATGCTCATTATCGACCTTAGTCAAGGTATTGATGTCATGAAACTATACACCACCAAGTTTCATCACTCTCACTTCATTAGAACTAAAGTTATTGTGTCCCAAAGCATCAACCAATCAAATTGCTTATCTCTGCTTACCCTAAGCAGAAAATGCTCACCTTCAAACTCCATCAAGACATTGACCTAGACCTAATAAACACCTACACCAAGTTTGAAAATTCTAGCTTCATTAGAAGGAGAGTTATTGTGTCCCAAAAAGTGTGACTGACAGACAGACAGACAAACCCATTTTAATAGTGAAAGGCAGGGGACAAATATTCATTTATTATTTCTATGAAATGTGTAAAATTGAGCTTTTTGTTGGTTGGGGTGATGTAACTGATGTGCCACAAATCACCATTAACACCCCCTACCCCCCCCCCATCACAAAATATCCTGCATCTATCCTAAATAAAATATTAACTTTTACTATTAAATTCAGATGTAATTCATTCAGTCAATTATAAATAAATAAAGGCAATTACTTAATAATTGAGCAGTTTGTGTGATTTTAGTAGACATGTCAAGCTCTTGGAACCACTGTCAATAACTGTTGAGTCCTTGGATTGCCAAATTCAATATATGTAGTGCATTAAGACTAGCGGTAGTTGTGACTCAACAACTGGCATTGCGCAACTTGTGCATGTTCAACTTCCACTAAGTTTAGATATTACAATTTGCTTTGCCAATCAAAATTTAATTTGTGTCATGTGACAATTACCATTCCCATGACAAAGCTATATCCAAAACAATATGCCAGTTGGTAGTTATTTCAACAATCACTGCCTAGTTGTTCAGTCCTATTTAGGTTAACTTGCCGGTTTGAAAAAATATACCTTCTTTGAAACTCATCTGCATGTTTTGAGAGAGTGTTCATTGAGATAATTTGGAGACTGAAAAAGAAAGTGTATAAAAAGAATTAGTTTATTACGTGACAAGTAGATGTTTGTTATAGATCTAATAAATGAAGTTAATTAATTAAAAGCATTACAAATTACTATATAGCAAAAGAGAATAAAAGCCAAACTTAAATATCATGACCTATTATATATGGTTATAAAAATCCAATCTGATTAAAACACAGATCCTATTTCGTTTCGTTTTTATAGTTCAAAATTTCGTTTTACTCGTCTTTACTACACTAGGATCTGAAAGAGTTGTTATCATTGACATGTTCTGAATGGTGTGAGGAATTAGCCAATGAAACGGTCTGTTACGGCGAGCTTTAGGTGTGTTTTGCACGGAACTGTGGGTAGTCCACTAGTAACATCAATGCTGATTGGTTTATCAAATGTCTGCAGACGTCATAGGGTCAATGGCTGCTTGTATGACCTCTGACTCGACCTACCGCTACAACCGGTCAGATCTTCATGTAGTGTAGGCCATCGAAAATATAAAAAAACGAAATGAAATATACATCTGTATTTTAATCAGATTGATAAAAATCCATCTGTAATGTATTATCATAAATCAATGGGAACAGCTCTAGTTGAGTAAAATAACAATGTAAGTATGACAGAGACAGAGGAATAGAATGAACAGATCAAGAATCATATTTATGAGGATGAAAGCCTGGGTGTATTTTGCAGTTGGGTTGTCCGACAACAAAACATATGGGATCATTACTAAAAATTAAAAATTGATGAAGAGCAACAACCCATAAAGTAATTAGACTTCTATTTATTTCCATGTGTACCAGTAATCTGATTACAAATTTAGTGTTTATTTTGTCTCATGAACATACTGCCTATAAATTTCATTGTTTAAGGGTCATTGTTGAGCCATAGCATGTGCCTTTAATGAATTGAAAGTTCCATTTAAAGATAGGCTGCCAGGCAAGGAAACATACACTCACAGCACCCAAGTCATTCGGGCAGTCAACAAGTGCTATCGCACATTTTTTGTTTTGTCGGTAATGCAACATTTACAATACACTAAAATCTGTTTAATAGTAACAACTCATTAAATAATTATTATTAGACAGAAATCACTAGAATTTGTTTGGCTTGTAGTTCTGCTCCATACCTTTAGTATATAAAACATTAAATATCATGGATTTAGCTGTTCAAGTTATCTAGTTTGTCTCAAGACCTTAAACTCCTGTGTACAAATTTAAAGTCAATCGAATGGTAACTTTGGCCTGTAGAGAGCATCCACAAGATTTTTCAAAGTGGTAAAGGTCGATAACTCTGGCAGCAATTAGCTTCTTCACGTCATGACCTTAAACACTGTGTATGAATTTAAAATCAATCGGATATTAACTTTAGCCTTTAGGGTGTCCACAAGATATTTTGAGGTAGTCAAGGGCCATAACTCTGGCAGTAATTATCGGATATTGTTGAAACTAAATGGGCATCTTCATGTCATGACCTTAAACAAAGTGTATAAATTTAACGTCATTTTGCTGGACCGATGGACAGGTACAACGTCAATACTCGGTATCCACCACATTTCAATGTGGGCGAATAAAAATATTGTCCATGATAATTCCAAATTAACACATTGACATTAGACAACCTTTTTTCCCCCTGGTGTTTCCATCTGCATATTTTCAAAAAAAGAAGAAGCTATTTTCAACTTGCCTACTATATACTCCTGGTTCGTCATATAATGATCTATAAAATGTCCTTAAAACTTGCATTAAACGTTTTTTCAGAAACATCCTTTCTATTTATAATTTTACATCTGGACTGAAAATGCTACTGTTTAATTAGCAATCAAATTAATGAAGTCAAATTAATCACAATGAAAGAAATCATAAAGGAAATGGGTTTACTCCACAACTTTCGTGTTCTATTTATCCTTAATATTTAGGTATTTTTATCTGTATGTTGACTTGACACTGTTTATCTCTGTCCAATCTTTGCACTTGTCCTAACAGCCGACTCAAGGTTAACTGTTTTAAGTCCTCACGACATGCAAATTATCAGTTCTATCCAAAGTCAATATTGAACTTGAAGCCACTGCCTTTCATAAACTGTCCAAATATGTATAATTTAATAACAGAAACCTAACAGTGCATATACTAATTACTTTAATCGTGTACCTTATAACACATGCTTTAATCTTAATCCCTACGTACAGTAGTTTGACTATAACATGAACTATCGCCCTATTTCACAAAACAATGACCTGAACCTAAAACCCAAAATAAAAGATAGGCTGCCAGGCAACAAAACATACACAACAGCAGGTAAGTCGTCCAAGCAGTCCACAAGGGTTATCACATATTTTTCTTTTGTCGGTCATGGAAGCATTTACTAGACTAAAAATTTGAGTTACAACCCATTAAGAAATTATCAGAAAGCATTAGAATTTGGCTGTTCAAGTTACCAAAATAGGATTCTTTATCTCAAGACCGTAAACACTGCATAGGAAGGGGGGGGGGGGACGAATAGGTTTTGATCGCCAGGACAGCTTTTCAGGTTTATATCCACATGAATGTCCCGTTCTGAAGGCTATCTAACCACTGCCTTGGGTCTCGCCACAGTTACTGATCTTTACGATATCTTCCTCCTTAATTGACCGATCGGAGCTGTCAATCAAAATAATAAGTCAACAAATCAAAAAATGCCTTCCCTACCAATATAAGCAGGTAAATTTGTTAAGTTCACTTCTACACAAAAGTACCTAGGACATATACTTACAGTATAAAAAATATGAAAAAGAAACTTTGATGTAGGTAGTCAATTTTTCCATATCGTCATCATATTTATTACCCCTGTAGCCAGCTCGTAAAATTTATTGGGGCTATGGATTTTTTGGAGGGGCTGAGGATGTGTCTGGCTAAGCCATCCACCGCTAGCAGTGGAGGCTCGAGCCAGGGCGGGGGGGGTCTAGGTTCCTTCCCCTGAAAATTTTGAAAATTTGGTACTCTCTCTCCTCGTATCCAAGTGCATTCCTGGGCCTCAAATTGAAGTGCATCAGGCAGCTAGGGTTTTGTGGCTGGATTTTCTGAAATTTCCCTCTTCGACTCCTCCCGCCGATACCATCTTGAGGGTAGTAGAGAGTGTCTTTTGATTTACGAGGAGAACTCTAAGCCGGGCAATACAGCTGTAGTATCAAATTTCAAGTGAACTTTAGGTATTCTATTATTCTATTCATAGAATTACAGTATAGGCTGCACAATAGGCACCTTATGTTAGACACAATAGGCACCTACATTTTAGGTGCCCGTAGGCACCCTATGTCGGGTGTATGCAAATGCAAACATTTGAACCCACACCTTGTAGGCGAACAAATAAACCAGGTCCTCTTTTAAACCCGTAACCTGGGTATAAAAGGGCAGGTCCCGAATAAATGGCAATAAATTATGCAGCCTCTGGTACCATCAAGAGCTTGAACTAATTTTGAACTATTTCTCCTTTATATATAGCGTAATGAGGTGGACAACCCCTTCCTAATAACACGTGCAGTTTGAAATTTGCGTGAATGAAACGCGCGTGAAAAAACAAAGCGACTCATGCTGGCGCGGCTCATTAAGAAATCATCAGCATAGCGGCTTACCTTATTCGCTGATTTCTTGATTATCCTTACATGACAGGCAGGCCTCGGTGGACCATGCTACGAGCACTCCTAAAAAATCATTATTGTCGGTGAAATATTCGGGGGGGAGGGGGCCTAATTCGATTTTGGGGGGGGCCTAATTCGATTGGGGGGGGGGGGGGGCTTAGCCACCCCATGGCTACGGGCCCGATTACCCCTAGTTACAGCTTTCATCGATGGTACAGTAAACTGTTCGTAATTATTATTTTGAAATGTTTCAAGGGCATGTTTTACGAAATTTTAACTAAGATAAAATCCAAATGTTAATAATTTGATTGGATAATATTAGATTGATTTAAGTGCTTAGCCAATCAAAATTGAAGTATCTACTAAAATTTGGATTTTATCTTTAATTAAGATTTCGAGAAACAGGGCTCATGGTTCTAGGGTTCGTCTGTCTCCACTAAAAGTTTAGATAACAAACCTCATCTCTCAACCTTCCGTGTTTCGAGGTAAGAGATGGTGCTATTTAGTTGCATGTAGCAAAGCCCAACACAAATTAAGCGTATAATCCTACCTGAAACGGGTATAAATCATCGTATTTAACATCGAGGCGTTAAGCCATTACTAGGAAGGACATGTATGACGAAGTATGCATGTCGGATAAAAACAACGATTCATTAATTTAAACGCGAATATTTTGAGTTAGGCGATAGTTGTGCCACTACAATTGGTCTCTGTAAGTTTTATTAGTTACAACTTACAATAGTATAAAATCATCTTATTTTTAAGAGAGAGAGAGAGAGAAATGGGGTTTAATGTCCACTCAAAACAAACTAGGTCATTTCGGGACTAACATATGGTTTAATTTTTTTATTTCAATAATTCGCTGGTGCGTATGGGTCTAGCAGTGGGAGGAAACCGGAGGACCCGGAGAAAACCCACTAGGTTGGACAGGCAACCCTACTCCCTGTCACGTACAACCGGGGAATCGATTAAACCCCGCCATATTTGTCTCAATGACAGACCGTATGATACAGAGCTAACCATTCGGCCATCAAAGAAACTGAGTTTGCCACTTGGAACTATAGTATATAAGGCACCCAATCGTAGCTAAAAAACAAGCACATCACTCTCAACGTTTTTAGCTGCGTTCTCGTAGCTACCAAAATTTATGACAAATCCACGCCCTTGACGTCAATATACTTGTGTGCATAGAAATATATAAATATTTATATATTTCTATGCTTGTGTGCATGGTC